GACGATATGCGCCGCCGAGCTACACCAAACTAACTTAAACCATAAATACTTGTACAGAATTACTGTTCCTAATAACTATATTCTTGCAAAAAATAGTTCATGAATCTATTGAGTAGATTAAGCTTAACTATCAGTTTAGTTGGAGTTATTCTAGCAGCTTGTCTGGCACTAGCAAAAGGACGCGTTTTAATGAGAAAGAGCACCATTGAACTTACTGGTTGCAGCGTCCATCAGTCTCTACTGTCAGCCATCCTCCAATTCTTAAATGACAAAAATTATTGTCCTCCAGCAATTCATTTCTTTCCTTGCAATATACAAAAGCAATGAGCACACAAAATCTCATCCCGGAATATTTCATTCCCATTCAAATCCAATCTCTTTCAAAGAGACATCAAATCTTGCAAGTAATTATCTCCAGTATCATCATTTACTACAGAATCTTTACGATTCTCCATACCTGATCCACACAAGACAACGGATAAACTAAACTGGGTTAGGCTTTCTTGCAACTGCTAATTTATAACGCGATATGCCGCTATCCAGAAAGTCGACGTTCCATATATGTCGTCGTATGAACTCACGTCTGTCTGGTCTAGTATCGTTTTCCATGCCTATTAAGATTTTCCAGAGAAAAGAATCGACGATGTCCACATCATATGCGAAACAAAAAGGCAAAAGAAGTTACGAGTAAGCCAAATGTCACATGCATATTCCTACATCCAAACACAGTATTTCAATGCTTTCTCTCTATCTCCTCCAGTTAGCCCTTAGTCTCATGCTAATAATAAATTAAGCCATTCCCGATTCCCAGCCCCTCGCCTCTGCCAAATGTAACACATTTCCTTTCACTCCACAAAAAGAGAAAAAACAATGGCGTGTGAACAGCTGCAGAAGACAAACCGGAAACCTACCCATATGGACTTGGACTTCTTTCATAATTTCCATCATGTTTGTTGTTATATGGACTAGGACTTCGTGATCGATATGGACTTCGCGATCGGTATGAACTTCGTGATCGGTTTCTTGAGCGTGAATGCGATCTTTTGTAGGATGCAGGAGACCTTGAATAACGACGATGGCGGCCATAATCATCACTGTGACGCTTTCGATCGCCATAAGGAGACCTTTCTCGATTGTATCGGGAGGAATGCCCTCTACCTCGACCATTCTCATCATCATTTCTATAACATAAAATACGCAATATTCATATCAGTAAACATTCGTCTTGCACTATCCCCGTATTCTCTGTACATCGCGTACCTACAGTACTTGGCCAAGTGACCAGGCTCACCACATCTAAAACATCGTCCACTTCGTACGTCCATACCCTTTTCCCTAGCTTCGGGACATTCTCTTGCCCAGTGTCCCTGTCCGCTACATAAAAAACAACCACTACCCGGACCTCCTGACCTCCGCGACCATTCCACTGCAATTCGAGCTCCGTCCAGCTCATAACCGTTTAGTTGCTTGACAGCATCATCGGCGTCTCGGGGATCCTGAATTGAGGAGGTTAGAAGATATGCAAAAGTTAACATGCTTTGATAAACTATGAGTAAACTTCAACTCGGTCTGAATAAACGAGGAATTACGATAATTTCAAACGTCATTTTAACCTCAAATTCAACGAATGCATAACCCATTGGTTTAACATCGACGCTTAATACTTTTCCATATCGTTCGAACTGGCAGTAGTTGCAATTCAATTTATTAGTACTTCAACAAGCAATGCAAAACTTTGTTAATATTTCGAATTTGAGATTTGTTTCGTACCAGTTCCTCGAGATCTCTCTTCTCTGTCTTCGAGGAAAGGTGGCCTATATATACTTTTCGCGCACACGATATGCAAAAAATTCGATGAGCTCCGCCACAAACGCGGTGGCAAAGAAATATCTGCTGTTCGTTACCTCAGCGATACCTACGTTTACTTGGAGTTGTGGTCATTGTTCGAAGGTAAAAGTCACACAAAGATTTCGGGGTTCAAATAGTAAACGCATTGTTCACTATATATGATCGATGTTTTTTATGGTCTCGTTATGTTACATTGTTTTTGTATCAGTTATTAACATTAATTTTCGCCCAACCGTACATTAAAAAGACCTATTGCCACGAGTAGTCTCTAATACTTTAATTCGTTCTATTATACTATTAAAAACTACGACCGAGCGCACTAGTTAAACGCTTTTCTATAAACCGGCTTTAGTTCTCGTCTTAAATGCTAAGACTAATAACGCATTTACAGGCGATAGGATCGACAATGATTTACTATATTTCTTGCATCCCGCTATTATATTATTATTGACAGAACTAACCACAAACGAAGTAAAGCAAGAATGTATCTGTACGGAAGATTATTAAATGAGCCAAGGTCAACGTTTATTTCTAATGTAAATACCTCAGCGAACGAGTTCAGATCTCAGCAAGCGCCACAACTTGATCTATACTTTGTGCAGCATATAATCTGATTTGATCGTCAATAAACCGCTCAACGGAGAGACGTTTTCAAGGTTGAAGCACTTTTTATAATAATATATAAGTCTCCGAAAAATCGAAACACATTTAAAGATCTTTATTCAAACAATTCGTTAATATTCGACAATGTGATTTATACCTTTTTACCGCCCATTCGACCATCATCCTTTTTCAATGTCTTTAAATTCCTGAAAACCTTCTGCAGACATCTCGCCATTCTATTTGATCCATCATCATTATTCTCTTTTGATTTTTGTTGTTGCTCTTGAAACATTTTACACATCTATGACAATCCTGAACGTAATTTAAAAACTGAATTGCATTGCTTGGGAATCAACCTGACATTATGGATGACTTCTTAACTAATGAAATCTTGAATACAGAGGTCAACTGAAGACGTCGATGCAGTGATTTGTCTTCGTATTATTAAGTTTTTCGGATTGACGCGAATGCTCTATAAGTTGAAGAAATATATTTGGAGAAAGCATATTGTACGGCAGTGATAATTTCGTAATGCCAGAATAATATCACAATGCTAATGTTATTATTGACATGATACAACAATGTTGGGAATTTTGGAAATTTTAGAAATTTTACAGATGATACCACAAAGCTTTTATGTCTCATCTTCAAATATTTGCCATTATAACAACGTCTTGTTGCTATGTGTATAGAGAGAAAACATTTGTTTGCTGGAGGCATCCGGTCGAGCTGAAATTTTACAGATAATCAGGCTTCACCAAACACTATGTGCAGGGAAATTTTCAAAGCGTTTCCTCATTTTGTCCCGAGTTAGGGGCCGTTCGGATACTTATGACTACTACTGTAAGCGGTTAACTATCAGAGAAAATAATTTGTCAGCACAATTGAAGAAAAAACGTTTCCCAAATTGGTCTCAACTATAAAAGCGTATCTTCCTCGGAAAACAAACGTTGATAGTACAGCCATTTTGTCATGTTGAATTAAACAGAGTGAAACTCTTAGGCAAAACGGTTTAAATTGAATAAAACGGGTAATAACATGTTAGTATTGTATATGTATCACTTGCCTTTTATACCTATGTGCGTCTGACACGTACCTCCGAATATTCCTTTTGTTATGCAAGAACGAAAAGTTGAACAGAAGCAACGTTAGCTCATTACACGTGAACAAGGACAGTTGATTTAGCATTCGGTCTTTATAATACCCAAATTCTCGGCGTCAACTTTGTGTTCCGAAACGTCCATTTATGGTATTTTATTGTATAAGGTTAGACTGAGGCGTATACGCAATCATTTAAATATTCGCACATTTCTCTTTCAGGCGTCATCTTAAACTCTACATCATGTCTGCGCGGGGAAATTCATCAAACCCTCTTGATCCAGCGATAATCTTATCGATCATCGAGAAAAGCCTTCCGGAGAGAGTTTCTAACGACCAAGACGAAGGATCAGCGTCTGCAGATACGCCTTTAAGATCTTGCCAAGATGCTTTGGCAATATTGTTTCATGCCATTATGCTGGCTGTAGACTTTCGTTTTGTCGGGCTTGGGGAAGATGGGACTATTGGTAATTTTGCTGAAAAAAAAAACAATCCCCCATTGGTATTTGTTTGGTTTGAGTTATAACGAAACATTGTCTTGTCTAAATACTTCTAGCGTTACCGACTAAAGAACAAAATGCAATCCCACGCCTCCCAAAAGAATGGAATGCCAATGGTCCAGATTCCTATGCCTTCCGATACAAGCATCCGCAATCATCTTTAACGTTTCTTATAAAATCAATACGACTTGCGGGTAAATTCCTAGTACATGGACTGGCAATCGAAGTGAGTTTTATTACAACTTATCCATAAATTGTTTGCTATTATCATGTGTATATCGTGATCAATAATTTTTATAGGATAACAAAACGTCTACATTAGAAGTAGTCATTGCCGACTACACATCTGCGTCATTTTTTCCTTACAATGACCGAGAGCCACTCGTGAATGGATTCATATCTGAGAGCAGGTTGAAGGACTTGACAAGTTTATATAAGATAAACATATTACAGAAGTTAATCCCAGGACTGAATAAGCCAGGTTATGAAGAAACAACGCAGACGTAAGTAGTTGGGAAGTTCGAAATTGTTTCGTATTGATCCTAGGCTCCTTTACCAACCAGGACTCTTCTCTATCAGTTCCGATAGAACAACTGCTCCCACACGTTCGAGCGCACCTCGGAATGATCCATATGATCCATTACGTATCCCGCCGAGAGTCCCGCCTACGTATCCAACACCACAAATATTCGGTGACCCATTTAATGTAGAAGGCCCAAGAACGTATGTTAATCCCTGTTTGAGAATTGACGATTATGGCCAAATATTAATTGAACTTGCTATTTGTTTTGAAATTTAGAAATCCCTTCAGTGTCGGTGCTGACGATTTAGACCCTTTTGCATCTAATCCATTATTTCCCAGGTGAATTAACTTGTGACATGTAAAAATACTTATTTCACAGCTATTTATACAGAGTTTGACTGATTAGATTTGGAGTCGGAGGGATACCGCCATCCAATCGAGGCGGCGGCATGCACGTTGGCCTTGATCATCCGATGTTTGGGCCAAGAGGTGGAATTCGGGATGACAGGGGTTTTCGCGGTGGCCCACCAACATTACCTAGGTTTGCAACAGCATACGGTTAGAAGAGTTTTATGGGACGTGCAATTGCAATAACGCCTCTTTATTTCATCAATTAATAGGGGCTCTGTGCCGCCAGGAGCCCGCTTTGATCCAATAACCCCGTTCAATCCTCGTCCAAATGTCGGACAGAACCCTACTTACTTCAGGTGATTTCCAATTATGCGATTTACAGATTCTTCTCCATTAGTATATACTAACCAGCATCTTTCATGTAGCGGCGAGCCTGACCACGATGAACCACCGCCACCGGTAAGTTGATTATTGGTTAAAATGGGATGAGTAACGCGTTCTTACGATCTCGTATGGTTTATGTAGGGCTACAACGACATGTTCATGTAGATCTTGGCTGAGTTATAATTGAAAACTTTATTGCGCGCATTTCGTTCATCATCTTTCCTTTAATATAACATGTTAATATCCCTTATGTAAAAATTATTGCGTTTGAAATAAATTTATACCATATTGTGTTATGATTAGTACCCGCACCATTTGTACAACAATTTTATGGACATCCTAATACCCTTGATTTGATGCTCAATTTAATTTGCCGTGATTGAATTCGAATTAAAGTTAATTGATACCGTCAACGTCAAAATAGAATAGTCATGTTGTAACCTCTAAGCCAACTACGAATAATCTCGCTAAATCGTTAATGGGCTACCTATATGCGCTTTGCTCTTTCGCTTTCTTGATGTGCAGTTCTTATCAAGGGATTTTCTCAAAAGATCAAGAAGCGACTTTTCTCTGACAATATGAACAGGAACACGATTGACGGTTGAAATAATTTTATGACACATTCAATTCTTACGCTCTTATCCCAAAAAAGGAAAAGACGAAATATTTACTGAATTGATTCTTGCACATAAATAAATAATCAATAAAATTCATTCAACTACGCTACTCTCAACATTATCCTTTCGTAAGGATTCCTCTGCAGCCATCGTGAATTCCTCTCCCGCATATTTCCTTGAATCCAAGGGCTGTTTTTCTGGAAATCTGAATTCTTCTCTTTTGTATTTAGCCCACACATACAAAAGCCCCATTCTAGCGACAAAACTACCGAACGTCATCAGTACCGCGGCTACAGGTGCAACAATGAATGCACCGAGGACGGAATAGTCATCGATGTATAGTCCATCCGGGAGTTGAATAAGATTGACCCCATCCTTCGCGTTCCCATAAAAGATAGTCCCGAATATGAAGATTCCTAATAGCCCGCTAATGCTACCAATTAATGAGTCGAACCAGTTCAAGAAATAAAGTGAATCGGCCAGACCAAGCATCACGGGGGGCATAGTTGCCGCGGCAACCAAATCGCCGATTAAAAACACTCGCAGAACGTCAACGTTCTTAAGGGCAAGAACAACTAGTAAAAGCAAACATTAAACGTCTCTTGTTAATATAAAAAAAAAAACAAAAACAAAAACCAAACTAATCCGATAGAAAATATTGACTTACCGGCGGGAACGTTAATGACGAAAACAGTAATTCGAATAACTGACAAAGGTAACTTATTTTGGAATAAATCATTGGACATTGTCGATACCATCGCGCTTTGCAGTGTATCATAAGCACTGCATGACATGGCGACGGATAGGATTATCACAAAGCCCACCACCCAGTCAGGCAGTTTGGCAAGCAACGAAAAAAATGCAAAAGCTCCCACGTTGTTTTCATCACAGCATAATCCTGCCCAAACAGCAAGCAAGCCAGTCACTCCGATGAGAAACAGTGTTGGGAATAACATGATGCTTGCATAAATCGTAGATTTATATAATTCCCGATCATTTTTAGAAGAAAATGACCGCTGCCAGAAGCCCTATAAGAATGAGTTTAGTCGTTAGAATAGTTCTTAATCATAGAATTTAATTTGCAGTCGTACACGTTAAATAATTCACAGAGAAAATATTCCATCCCAAATTGTCTGCGTCAAATTTTAATACCCCTAAAAAAAGTATTTGGATAGATGATAATCCGATTATTTATAAATACCTGGTGGAAAAAGTTGGCAAAAGTAATTGCAACAGCGAGAATGTAAAGCAATTGCCAGCCTAAAGACGTAGATTTCAATAGACCAGACTCGTCAATGGCATGCTTATCTATTCTGACATTGGTCGCCACAGCAATCGTA